GGAATATTCCCATCATACCAGCCACGTTCCTGGGACACGTGCAGGGGTGTGCTGAGGAGCAGGAAGCTGGGAGAGCCAGCGTGGGGGCACGGGAACCCTGACTCAGCCTGGCATCAATCCGCCTACGCACTCCGGGCGGAGGCGGCACGCGGCCCTTTAAACCTCGGATCCAGGGAACACAGCTCGGATCCAGCTGCAGGACAGGGAGAAGGGGAGGCAGCTCCTGAGGGAGGTGAGTCCATCCATGCAGGTGAGCACAGGACAAAGCTCCTGATCTAGGCCTGAGGATGGGAAGGGGCTGGAGGAGAGGTTGAGCTCTTGGCTGGCATTTCAGGGAGGCAACGGGAGGATAAACAAGTCCTGGGTGAGGGATGTTATCCAAAATTCTCCTCTCCAGATGCTCCATAAGGAGTACATGAGGATAGTTCTTGGCTTCCAGAGAGAATCATGGAACCCCAGACTGGGTTGGAAGGACCTTAAAGCTCATCCAGTCCCACCCAGGGACACCTCCCACCATCCCAGGTTGCTCCAAGCCCCATCCAGCCTGTTCTAGAACACTCCCAGGGATGGAGCAGTCACACCTGCTCTGGGCAACCTGTGCCAGTGCCCCACCACCCTCACAGCCAAGAATTCCTTCCCAATATCCCATCTCTCCCTGCCCTCTGGCAGTGGGAAACCATTCCCTGTATCCTGTCCCCCCAGGGCCTTGTCCCAAGTCCCTCTGCAGCTCCCTTGGAGCCCCTTGAGTCTCTCAGGGAACAAGAAATAGGACAAGAGGAAACAGCCTCAAGCTGTGCCAGGGGAGGTTCAGGTTGGATACTGGGAACAATTCCTCCTGGAAAGGGCTGTCCTGCCCTGGCACAGCTGCCCAAAGCCGGGCTGGAGTCACCACCCCTGGAGGGATTTAAATCCATGTGGATGTGGCACTTGGGGACATGGTCAGTGGTGGCCTCGGCAGTGCTGGGAACAGTTGGACTCAATGATCCCAGAGAGCTTTTCAAGCCTAAATGATTCCATGACTCCATGTTCATTGTTCCCCTCGGATTTGAGTTCAAAGGGAAATCATTTGCTCAGGATCACTAACCAAGCACAGCTCCAACCAGTGTGCCAGGTGAGGATGTTCCCAGCCATCCAGGGATTCCCTGAGCATTCCCTCACCTCGTGGCTCCAGGTTTGACTCCCAGCATGTCCCAGCTGTCCTTGCTGTTGCGGATCCTGCGGATAGCATCCGCCTGCTCCTTGGTGAAGCTGACCCCAGTGCTGGAAGGAGGACGTTTCCCACCGTTGTCACACAGGTCAATGATGGCAGAGTAGAAGGTCTATGGGAAGAGTCAGTGGGAAGGACAGACCCAGAGGTGGTGGTGTGCCCTCACCCTCTTGGAATCATGGAATATCCTGAGCTGCAAGTGACCCCCAAGGATCAGAGTCCATCTCCAGGCTTTGCACAGCTCCATGAATCCCACCACATCCCTAAGGGTGTTGTCCCAGTGCTGACAGGCTTGGTGATCACTTCCCTGAGGAGCTGTTCCAGTGCCCAACCACCCTCTGGGGGAAGAACATTGGCTACTTCCCTAATATCCAAGACCTGGCACAGCTCCATCAGCTCACCTGGAACATCTCATTGATCCCTTCTCCTGTTTGTGCCGACGTCTCAAAGTAGAGGAACCCTCTGCTCTCTGCCCAGAGCCGACCCTCGCTCTCATCCACGCTCCGGTGCTTCGTGGAGTCGATCTAATCCAGGGGGAAAAACATGCATCAGTGTCTGAAGCAGCTGCAGGAACTCAGCTCTAAGGCTGAGATGATGTCAGCTCTACTCCATCCCTTCCTGACTCATCTGTGGCCATCACATTCCAAAACCCAATCTCCAGTGCATCTCATGCACACCTGGCTCTTGGAATGTCTTCCCTATGACCCTACAACATGGATTCAATGATTTCCAAGCAGCTGGGAACAGAGGGAGCACTGAGGAAGATCAGGACGGCACCTGGATCCTCACCTTGTTTGCACAGACCACAAAGACAATGTTCTCCATGTTCCCATGGGGACCCAATTCCTGCTTCATCTCCGCCAGCCAAGCATCCAGGGCATCAAAGGATTCCTTCAATCCCACATCATACACGAGGATAACCCCCTGAGTGTCCTTGTAGAACTCATTCCTCACCTATGGGGGCAAACACAGGGTGATGGCAGGAAGGACAGGGATGCTGAGACTTGGGCAATCAGCATCTACCTGGCATCTGTGTGGGGCTGGGAGGACAATCCCAGCTCCAAGGATCCCCAAAAATGGACAGAGAGGGAAATCTGTGTGACAGGACACAGGGAATGGCATCCCACTGCCAGAGGGCAGGAAGAGATGGGATACTGGGAAGGAATTCCTGGCTGTGAGGGTGGTGAGGCACTGGCACACCCAGTTGCCCAGAGCAGCTGTGGCTGCTCCATCCCTGGGAGTGTTCCAGGCCAGGTTGGATGGGGCTTGGAGCAACCTGGGCTGGTGGAAGATGTCCCTGCCCATGGGAACAGGATAAGCTTTAAGGTCCCTTCCCATGTAAACCATCCTGAGATTCTGTGATCCCACAGTGAAGGAAACTCATCAGAAATGGATTTCCAAGTTTCCCAACCCCAAAGCCAGTTCCAGACGGATTTGAGGAATGCTGATGAGTGCCAAACATCTGGAGCCAGGGCAGCTGTACCTCGTAGAAGAAGGGATGTCCTGCCATGTCAAAAATGTTCACCTTGATCTCCCGATCCCTGATCTGCACTCTGGAACAGAAGTGGGGTTGAACACCTCCAACCCTCTAAAATCATCAAGTCCAACCATTCCCCCCCAGCACTGCCAAGGCCACCACTAACCATGCCCCCAAGTGCCACATCCACATGGATTTAAATTCCTCCAGGGATGAAGACTCCCCTCCTGCCCTGGGCAGCCTGTGCCAGGCATGGACAGCCCTTTCCAGAGGGAATTATTCCAAATATCCAACCTGAACCTCCCCTAGCACAACTTGAGGCTACTCCCTCTCATCCTGCCTCCTGCCCTGGGCAGCCTGTGCCAGGCATGGACAGCCCTTTCCAGAGGGAATTATTCCAAATATCCAACCTGAACCTCCCCTAGCACAACTTGAGGCTACTCCCTCTCATCCTGCCCCTTGTTCCCCGGGAGCCTGACCCCACTGCCCTGGGCAGCCTGTGCCAGGCATGGACAGCCCTTTCCAGAGGGAATTATTCCAAATATCCAACCTGAACCTCCCCTAGCACAACTTGAGGCTACTCCCTCTCATCCTGCCCCTTGTTCCCCGGGAGCAGAGCCTGACCCCACCTGGCTGCACCTCTTGCCAGGGAGATGCAGAGAGCAGAAGCTCCCCCAGCAGATCCATGTGGCTCATCCCACTCTCCCAACGCCTTCCCCAGCTCCAGACACTCACTTGGTAACTCCATAGTCGATCCCAATCGTGGCCAGGTACTTGGACACAAACCTCTTCTCACAGTATCGCTTGATGATGCAGCTCTGGGAGGGGAAGGGCAAGGGAATCTCAGCAGGGATTCATAGGGATTTCCAACCCTTCCAGCCAGCTGGAAGAGACATCAACCTCTCACCTGTTACCTATCATATGTCCCTTGTCCATTGTCACCTGTCACATGGTTCAAAGGCACAAACCCTGCCCTAAGGCAGCTCCCAAAAGCCACGAAGGACTTTTTGGCAGCATAAGTGTATTTAGTGTCACATCAGCCCCACAGATGCTCCAGGCTGGGACAGAGTGGCTGGAAAGGACCAGGTGGGCAAGAGGTCAATGGCACCTGCTTGTAGCAGCTCTGGTGTGGGCACAGCCCCAGGGCAGTGCCTGTCCCGGTGCTGGCACTGCTGAGGCACCTCCAGTCCCGGGGGCACTTCTGGGACCCTCACAGCAAGAAGGACATTGAGGGTCTGGAGCATGTCCAGGGAAGGGAACAGAGCTGGGGGAGGGGCTGGAGCAGCAGGAAGGGCTGAGGGAGCTGTGGGGGCTCAGTCTGGAGAACAGAATGCTCCAATGAGCCCCTTCCAGTGACCCAAGGCGCTCCAAGAGAGCTGCAGAGGGACTTGGGACAAGGGATGGAGGGACAGGACACAGGGA